TCCTGGCACGATTCTGATGGTTGGAATGTGTTTAGACTGGGCAGAAAGGATGAGCTGTGCAGAAAAAGCTACTCCGGGAAGGCTTTTTCAAAATCTCCCACTTTTCAATGGAACTTTACCCCCATATTAGGGTTAGGGGTGTGCACCAGGGCAGGGTTAGGGTTAGGAAAACGAGGCGTCCTGGCACGATTCTGATGGTTGGAATGTGTTTAGAATGGGCAGAGATGATGAGCTGCACAGAAAAAGCTACTCAAGGAGGGCTTTTTCAAAATCGCCCTCTTTTCAGTGGAACTTTACCCCTATATTAGGGTTAGGGGTGTGCGCCAGGGTAGGGTTAGGGTTAGGAAAACGAGGTGTCCTGGCACGATTCTGATGGTTGGAATGTGTTTAGAGTGGGCAGAAAGGATGAGCTGTGCTGAAACCGCCACTCAAGCCCCACACGCTCTCCCCCTTCTCCTGCTGGGGCGCCCCCACCCTCACTGGAGTGATCCCGGGTCCCAAGTGCCCCAGAAGTCGAGGAGCGGTGAGAGGCTCCCCCGCAGCCCTGGACTTCACCTCTTGCCTTCTTTCCCCGCACTGCAGGTGATCCACGTGACGGGCCGCTTGCGCCCGCGCCTGCCGTCCTTCTCCCACGCCCACTCGGTGCTGGGCCGCGCGATGGGGCTGGTGGCGCTGGCCCACACCCTGCCCCCCTCCACCCTCAGCGAGGTGCGCATCGAGTGCCACATGTTCGTCTTCCGCGTCAACATGGACCTGCAGATCATGTACTGTGAGAGCAGGTGGGTCGCGGGGGAGGCCGTCTGCCTGTCTGGGCCAGGACTCGCTGGGCCGCCGGAGCCGCCATGTCGGAATCCCACACCGCCCTTGAGGCCTCCTGAGGAGCCCTGCTCTGGGATCCTTCCTCTGAAGAGGCCCGTGTGGTTCCGCTCCTCCGGGAGCGGGGTCTGCCTGGTGCTGGCCCCAGTGCCGCAGAACTTTCCACTAAGAGGGTACCTCCCGGCTGTCCCTTTGGACATGGGCAAAACATTCGTTTGGGCTTGGAGCTTTGGAAATTAACTGCCAAAGGGGGCCTTTTCGTGGAGTTGTGTGGCTGAGCCGTTTTATTGGTTTCTGTTGTTTTGTGTTACTCAGATACGGGTTGTTTTGAAGTCCATCTGAAACAGCAGTCTGTTTGAAATATATAGATAACCTTTCTCAGAAATGTGCTGTGCATGCATTTGATTGCATTTCTATCTGCCTTTGTTGCTCTTGCAAGAACCCCAAGCCAGCTTGCATGGTTCTCCTCCACTCCATTTTTATCCTCACAACAACAGCCCTTTAAGGTAGGCTTGAGTGAGTTTGTGACTAGCCCAGAGTCACCCAGAGAGCTTCATGACCAAACAGGGAGGAGAACTTGGATCTCCCAGACCCCTGGTCTACTCCCCAGACCCCACCAGTCGCTCTTTATTTACCAGTGTGCATTTATTATAGATATATTTTTTAGAAATTACATTGCTTGCCTCAATCCAGATTTTTGAGGCAGCTTGCAACATCATCAAAATCCATAACAATGAGGGGTATAACAATCGGAAACAAATGAAAGTAAAAAACATTGCGGCAGTGAAATGGAACCACGTTCGCCCTTTTTAACATAGGTTTAAAGCCAAGAACTGCAAAGTCAGTGATAGGATTCAAAACACCACTAACAGAAGTCCCTTTTAGGGACTGGCCTAATTCGCCTTTGATTCCCAGGCTGGGGAAGGGAGGTCCTGAGCTGTCTTACCTCTCGCTTACCTGCCTTCTCTGCAACCTACCTGCCCCCTCCTCTGTTTCAGGATCAGTGATTATATGGACTTGTGTCCCTCAGAGCTCGTTGGCAAGAGCTGTTACCGGTTCATCCACGGCGAGGACGTGGAGGGGATCCGGCAAAGCCACCTGGACTGTATGTTGTTACCGCTACTACTGTTATTAATAGCATTTCCGTATTGCCTGTAGCCGAAGCTGTCTGGGCGGCTCACAGCATTTAAGTTCCAGGCCTGACCCACTTATCTCCCGAGATGAGGCAGGATCAGGCCCTTCAGGCTGTATGGAAGCCAGTCGCTGGCCTCTTGGTGATGCTAAGGTGCTTCTGCAGTGCCCAAAGCGCAGTTGCTGGATCGCACCACAGACCTGGCTGGCTGGAGAAAAGGAGGTTGCATCCGGTGGCCTCAGTGAAGCCCCCACGCGGCCCCCCTTGTCTGCGTGCAGCAGACGGGCTTGCCTCTCCTGTCCGCAGAGGTGCCCCTGGAGATACTGCGGACAGGAGCTGTGGGTGGGCTTGTGTCAGGGACCGGAAGGACGCTGTGGAGGCCGGTATCTGTGCATCAGGTCATTTGCCGATGCAGAAACCCTGCCCCGTTTTCTCCACCAAGAAGAGTCACCCCAAGGGGCTTGCAGAAAGCAAAGGTGAGCCAGAAAAATAAACACGCCTCCGCTGCCAAGACCAAAAGCAGCATCAGAGGACGAGGAGAAGAACCGAAGGAAGGACGAGCGCGTGGGATTCAATAAACATGGGGTCCAAAGCAGGGCGATGGTGGCGTTTGGAGCCTTGGAGAGCAAGAACCTGGGGAAGACCTGCCTCGCCTCTTGCAGCGGCACAGCTGTGTCTCCCCCAGCCCGCTTCTGTGCCTGCCTCTGACCCCCTTAGTGCCCCCGTGCCTGGAACAAGGGCCTCCCCGCTGGTTTGGCATGACCCCCCCCTCCCCTCCAGATCTGCCCCCGGCAGAGGCCCGTTTCCAGCCAGTGCCTACGGTGGCTCTCCCCAGAGCCGTTGCCTTGCCTGAGCCCGTCCACTCCTGCCCCCCCACCCCGCCCCCCGGGACCCTAGACTGCTCCCGCTGCCCAGAGCAAACTGCCAGAAGACCCGTTCTGGACTATCAGCCAAGTCAAGTGGCAAAGCTCTTCCTGGACTGTCCCACTCTAAACCCCCAGAGAGGGCTGAGGGCTTGTGTGAATTGCCTCCCCTGGAACCAGGACAAAGCTCCCTGCAGAGCTGAAGGCTACTTCCTTTTGTAGTATATCCTTGTTGTGTTTGGTGTTTCCCCCTTTCCTTCCTGAAGGCGTCTCTCTTCTTGCGGGGAAACACTCAGACTCGCGTCCTCCCCTGGCCGTTGGCGATGATACAGGCCAGGCCAGGCTTCCCCATTTTCTGCTGGGCGGCATCCACTGGCAGGGAAAGCCTCCCGTCCGTGTGGTGAGCGCCTCCTCACCCGCCTCCTCTCCCGCAGTGCTGAACAAGGGGCAGGTGGTGACCCAGTACTACCGCTGGCTGCAGAAGGGCGGGGGCTTCGTGTGGGTCCAGTCCTGTGCCACCATCTCCGTGAACGTCAAGAACCCCAGCGAGAAGAACATGGTCTGGGTGAACTACATCCTCAGGTGAGGTTCCCCTGCCTTCGCGCGCCCCGCTCGCAGCGGGGAAGCGGGGGCAGCCACGACGGGGCAGAGACAGCTGGGCCTGCCGGACCATGCGCCGTCCGTGAGCCCGCCTGGGGCTCTCTCGGGCTGCCAGGCCGGCTTCGGGGAGCAGACGCCGGAGCTGGTCCTGCGCCTCCCTCTGGGCAGCAGGAACGGGGTGTGTGAGGAGGACGAGGCTCGTCCAGGGGGCTCCCCCAGCCGACTCTGCACGTAGGGTGTCCTCATTTCACAGCAGCACAAAATGGGGGGGGGGTATTGGGCTGGGATCCCACTTCTTAGGACTCCGAGCTTCCCTTCCAGAGGGCTCTTTCCAGAAAGCTCTTTCCACTCCCACACCTTACAGGTGCTGGGAGGCACTTCGACAGGTGTCAGTAATGCTCCCTCTGGTTTTGGGAATCAGCCGCACCCGCAAATGAGATTTCCAGAAATCAGAGAGAGACAAGTTGGGGGGGGGGGTTGTTACCCTGCAGAGCTCCTTGCCTGTGGCAAAAGCAGATGTTCTGCAAGCTTTGTGAGGCTCACGGAGTGCAGTGCCAGGTGCGGAGATAGTTTGTAATTGTTTTTAACAGGGAGTTGAAATGCACAATCCTGGGAAAACTCAACGGATTTTTCGTTCTTTCCAACACAATAGCCAAAAGCAAGCTTAAGTCAGGTTCCTGGTTTTTCTTCTCCTGCAGTGAAATAGCTCCAAATATTCACACAAATGTGGAGCCAAGAACTCATATCTCTGGCACACCTTGTGCAAATTAGGGCCAACTGGTTCAATCCAAGTTGTTCCTGTTGTAGCACGTGAAAAGGAGAGGTGCAGAAGCACCCCCTGCTCAGTGCCCCTCCTCGGCCAGCTGACCGTTTTTCTGACCATCGGTTTCGGAATCATGCAGAATTCAGGCCTCTGCACACCTGAGGCCCAATTGCTCGCACGCTCCCTGGCAGTGCAAACCACGGACCCGTTTTATTTTTTTTTATTTATTTATTAAAACATTTTTATGCCGCCCCATTCGCCGAAGCCTCAGGGTGGCTTACAACAATAAATTAGATCCACATAAATAAAAATTAAAATATATACATTAGAATAATAATAATATATATATACACAATATAAAATAAGCTGCCCTGGCCAGATAACATTCAATAGTATTAACATTTAAAATGCTGCTTAAATAAAAAGGTCTTCGCCTGGCGCCGAAAAACAAATAATGATGGCGCCAGGCGGACCTCTCTGGGGAGCGCATTCCATAACTTAGGCGCCACTGCTGAGAAAGCCCTCCTCCGAGTAGCCACCCTCCCAATTTCTTTCATGGAGGGCTCCCGGAGAAGGGCCTCTCCCACCGATCTTAGGGGGCGGCTGGGCATATATGGATGTAAGCGCTCCTTCAGGTAACCAGGACCCAAGCCGTTTTAGGAACGGCATTCCATCAAGTCGCATCAGGTCACACGGGCGCCATGGCAGACGTGATGGAGCAGAACCCACGGGGCCGAGCTGGAAAAGCCGGCCAGCTTTCCGTCCCTGTGGCCAGGGCCTCGTGCCTCTCTCACGGGGAGCGATGCCTTCGTGTTGCCGCAGGAAACGGAGCTGGGATTTTTCCTGCAGGTGGAGCCATGCAGTCGTTTCTCTCTGCCCCACGTGGGCGTGTGCGGGGTTGGGAATTCTGTGGCAGGCTGGCGTGAACAAGTAACCGCTGCAGCCCCCGTCTGGCTGGGGATAATGGGAGTTGCACTCCATCAGCAGCTCAGGTCAGGGAAGGGTGCTTTTTGTGACGATGACGATGTGATATTCCGGAGGATGGTGGGTGTGGGTGAGGGGATGCAGGAATATCATGATGGGGACAAAACGGGTGGGTGGGCTTGTCAGATTGATAAGTCCCTCCAGGCAGCGTAAAGTGTGCAAAGCAGCACTGGAGTTTCCAGCACTCAGTTCTGCCTGCTGCAAACGGGGCGTTCGTCCCTGTGATGGGGCAGATCTGCTCTCCCAAGTGGGGAGGGGGCAGCCCCCCCCCCGAGCACAGAAACGTCCGTGCCGGCTGTTTTTCGTACGGGCAGCATGCCCGTCTTCTCCTCCATGTGGCGTCTTCCTGTGTTCAGAGTGACTTTTCTTTCCCCTTCCCTTTTTTCAAAAATAGGAGACAAGCTACCCTTGTGGTTTGCCCCTCCCTGCAGCCTGAGGTGGTACAGCCCCAGCGTGGCTGCACCAGAGGCCCTCCCTGAGCCCGGAGCTCAGCTCTTGGTCCTGGGGCCAACACCCTCCCCGCACATCTCCTCCCCACCCACCTGGGCCATTTAGCTCTGCTGAAAGTGGCCGCATCTCCTCTGTTCCGACTCTTCCAAGCCGATAAAAGAAATACATGAATGGGCTACTGCAGATGGTTATTAATGACGGCCCTCCCCTCTCCCTCCCGATAAAGCAAAGGGAAGCATTATTATGCTAATCCTGTAAGCAATTGCCGATGCTAATGTATGATTTGTCAGGGTGATTAGTATTTTAGTTAATTAGTGCTGTAATTAGAGGCTAATTAACTTTCTTGCAGCCTCCCTGCAATGGAAGCTTGCTGGCCTGCTCCATTCTCCGCTTTGCAGAAGGGTGGGGGCTCCTCGGCCTGCTGGAGTGGACGGGGCGGGGGGCACGGGGTTCAGCCCCCCGGGCCGCCCATGAAGCGCTGTGGCAGAGCAGCACAGCGCTGCAGCGCCCCGGGTGCAGGGAGTGGGGGGGGGCAGTCGTCGCCCGATGGCTGCGTCCGGAGGGCCTCCGCTTCGGCACGGTGCTTGCGTGGCGACGCACAGCCCTGCCTCTGTCCGGGGTCGGGGAAGCAGAAGTGGGAGCCCAGAGGGGAACTGGGGGTCTTGGAGGGGCTGGGAAGGGTGTTCCGGGCCTCCAGGGACAGTCCCTTTCTCGCTGTCGGAGGCACACGCAGTGAGGAATAGGCCTCCGCACCGTTTGGAGCCTGCAAATGCTTTGCCGCCGCAAGGCTGTGGTGACAAACCTTGGCAAGCCGCCGTGCCCTCCAGGGAGAAGGGCAGCGATCAGAAATGGGTGGCGAGGGCCCCCCGTCCCCAGAGCCCTCGCCTTTCGGACTGTGCTGCCCCACCAGGCGATACCCTTCCGGGTTGCTGAGAGGCGCTGGGGCTCACGTCCACCCCGGGCCTCCTTTGGGGTCTGGAAGCACAGCTGCAATGTCTGACTTGTTTGCTTAGAGGGAAAGTTGCCCCGGACCAACTTGGCAACGGACTTTTTAAAAAATCCTTTTACAGTCTTATGAAGCTGGAAGAGGGCAGACCATGTCTTGGAAGAGGCCCCCCTGCCCCCGCCACATCCTCTCTTGCTTGAAAGAGAGACCCTCCGTCGCTGGAGAAGCCGCCTGCCTCCAGCCATCACCGGAAAAGCCCCGGGATTCACCATAGTCCTGAAGGCTCTTCCCGGCTTTGGTGCAGCGCTTCCCTGTTTCTGTTAAGGCTGCAGTGCCTCTCCAAACCCTAAGCACTGGCAGGAAGGGTGTCAAACTCAAACAGGCCGGCCTTGGGGGCCCATCCCTTCCCCGTGGTCCTCGGCCGCGCAGCCGCGAGGGCTTTTCCTCCATGGCCGTCGACCGAAGATGGTTCTGCACCTCTGATCCAAAGCGATAACTTGCCTTTTGCTTCAGGACTTCCACCTTGCCAAACGCAACTGTGATTGCTAATTTCACTCGATAAATCAGCTGACGCTTTTTCACGAAGCGACGACGGCTGTGCGTCGGCCTCCCCGAAGTCCAGTCCGATCCCACGGGGCTCCTTCAGCCGCAGAAGGACGCGTCTCCCTCCCTCCCTCCCTCCCTCCCTCCCTCCGCGTCGATCGCTTTCCAAACCGGCGCGGGGCTCAAGTGAAGCCCCGGGCCTGGGAGCAGGAGGGCCCGGGCAGGGGCACGTGCCCCCCTCGCAGTGCCTGGCGTTGGGGACGGGCGGGGAGAAGATGGGGGAGCAGCCTGGACCGGTGCCAGCTTTGCCAGCTCGCCAATCAAACCCCCAACCCGGCTGCGTTTTTGTTTTTAGTCTTGTGATTTCAATCTACCCTTGTTTGTTCTTGGACAATGCCGTGCCGATGGCCCTCTGCCGTCGTGGCGGCGATTCTGCTGATTCCAGCCCGCAGGTGGCTGGCTGTGCCGGCTCGCGCAGCCGCCCGCCCGGGTGCTGCTCCCCCCCCCCGGCTTGGGAGGGGGCAGCGGCGGAGAGCAGCGCACCGGGGATGCTAACCCTGGGCCTCTCAGCAGCTTGCGCCGCCGCCGGTCGGGCCCTTCTGCCCTGCGGCTTCCTCCGAGGCGGTCTGTGGCTGCCGAAGCCGCCCAGCGCGATGCTTGGCAGTCGTGGGTGCTCTCCGGCCACGCCTCCCTCGGATCGTGCCCAGCAGAACCCCCGTGCTGTTTCCTGGCTGGCTGGCTGGCCTGTGTCTCCTGCTGCGTGATCCTGTGCGTCGCCTCTCCCAAGTTAGCGCCCTCCAGACATTTGACTGCGCTTGCCCCCGTCGTTCTGCTGGCCCTGCATGAAACGCGCGAGCCCTTGGGGACGCCTCCAGATCTCACAACCGGGCATTTCGCGGAAGCTCCTTCTCCAAGATGCCTGAAAGGGTAGATCTTTCTTTGGAACGGCCTCTGCCTGTGCAGTTGCTCTTGTAATCCTTTCCTTTCCTCTCTTCCCCCGCCTCTACTGCCATCTTCATCCTTTCCAGCAAGCCGGAATACAAGAACACCGCTCTGGACGTCTTCCAGCTGCCTGGGAAACCCACGAGCTTGACGGATGGCTCCGATGAGGGACCGGATTTCAAAGGTGTGTGCAGGAAACCTCAGATGGGCAAGGAGGAGCTGGCTGGCCAGGGACCGCCCCCCCCCCCCGGGCACATGGCTGGCAGGCAGGAGGGAGCTTCCCAAAATGGAGGGGTGGGGCGGGTGTCTGCTGTGCCCCCTTACCGTGTGCCCCCGTGTGGCAGAGAGGCAGGAGCAGGGCTGCCCCGTGATGCCACTGGCACGCCTGCCTTGCACTCACGCTGCAGCTCTGCCCCGTAAAGTCCATTGCAGGATCCCACAGGGTGGAAGACTGCCAGCTTTTCCTGCCTCGCGCAGCTGCCGTCTTCGGCTCTCCGATCCTCATTCGGTCGCGGTTGCGTTCAAGGAGAACTGGGCCCTGCATGCATTCAACAGCTGGCCAGCCGAGTCAGATTCTAACAGTTGGGGCTGGCTCTTTGAGAACGGCACGATTGAGGCTGCTCCTGTATTTTCTCTCCTTTGAAAGCGAGCGGCGAGCTTTTTCTCTGTTTGGAGCAGGGATGGCTTTTTCATTGTTATTCATTCGATCACTTTCCGGAGACGTGAGTGATGAAAACTCTGGTGGAGCATGGAGCTTGCTTCCGTTTCCCTCTTCGGGGTGGGGGGTGGGGGCAAGGCTGTTGCATTTCTGTCCCATCAGTGGCCCGGCCCGCAAGCAGAATGTTGAACTCGATAGGCCTTTGCTCTGACCCAGCCTGCTCTCTGTCGGCTTTCCTGCGTCAAGGAAGCCCACTCGCTTTTCCCTCTCAGCCATTTCAATACAGCCCAGCGATGCCTTGCCACCTGCCAGCAGATGCACCTTTTCCAGACCTGCCTGCTGCAGGGCTGTGCCTGGTTGCCTTCCCCCTGGCCTGGGGGGAGGACATGGAGCCTTCCGAAGTGAACTTTCCCTCAAAAGTAGTTCTTCCCGATGTAAGCGGCTGTTTCCCCCCGGCTCCCTCATCCCAGTGCGTTCCCCCAACCGTCTTCTCCGTTTCAGAGAGCGGCTTTGCCAAGGACAGCAGCCCGGTGCTCTACTCCCCCGGCAAGCCCGGCGCGCTCGCCGAGGGCTATGCGAGGAGCGTGGTGGAGGCCAGACCCCGCTGCCATGGGGCGGACACCGATTCCAGCGGCCCCGAGATGAGCTACCGGGACGAGGAGGCCTCCGAGGGAGCCGGCGGAAGCGACATGGACGCGCCTCCGAGCAAGCGCATCAAGCTGGAGTTCCAGCCCGAGAGCCCGCCGGGCGAGGCGAAGGGGGCTTCGCTGCCCACGTCCGAGGAGTCGGACAGCGGCAGCGAAGCGGAGCTGGGCCTCCTTCCTCAGCACAGGGCGCCCCTGGCCCAGAAGCTGAACGGTTGCAAGTCTGGCGGGCAGAGGGGCGCTGGGCTGGGCCGCCCCTGCACCTCGGAGTTCACCTCGGTCATCCAGACCCAGAAGAGCACGGCCCTGAAGGCCAGCACGGGGCTCAGCATCAAATCTGAGCAGGCCCCCGGGCCCCGGGGGGTGCCCTGGACCTGCCCTGCGGCTGCTCACAAGGGCGGCCCATACCCCGGGAGCAAAGCGCTCAGCTTGGAAAAGGCCGCCCCGAGGCCCGCCCCGCCGCACCTGTACGTCACCATCCCGGACTCGGTGCTCACCCCTCCCGAGATGGACGGGGGCGCGGCCAAGGGCCCCTTCCGCACCTCCCCGCGCGCCGGCCCCGCGGCCCCGTCCTCGGCGGAGACGCTCTCGCCCCCGCTCTCGGGCTCCCCCTGCGAAGAGCGGGCCGCCTCCACCCCGTTCACCCCGCTGGTCTACCCCGCGGAGATGGAGGTGCTGCAGCGGTTCCACGCCGGCAATGTGGTGGTGCCGCTGGTGCACCAGCTCGGCAACCCGCACGCCGGCACGGCGGGCTCCCCGGGGCTCTTCGCCACCAGCACGATCCGCTACGCCCCGGCCGACGTGAGCCTCGCCATGCAGGGTGGGGTGCTGCCGCCCTCCCACCCCGTCAGCCTCATGGACCTCGGCGGGGCGGAGGCCAAGGCCTCCCGCGAACTCATGTACCAGCACCTGCAGCGGCTGAACATGGTGGCCCCGTTTGGGAACTCCGCCGGCCTGGCCCAGCTCTCGGGGGGAGCGTTCGCCACGACGGACTCCTTGTTTTCCACCCTGCCCTTCTCCTTGGCTGGCGGCGGGGCCCACGGCCCGCCGGCGTTGGAACACACGGAGGACTGAGCTCGGGGGACCGTGTGGGATCGCGTGGGCGCCTCTCGCTCGCGGCCAAGCTCTGCACCGGCTGGACTGCCACGGAAAGATCTCGTGTGGCCTTCTGGGGGAACGCTCAGTGCCCCGCTGGCGTCCTCCAGACCGGAGGGGGGGGGGTTACTTTGATCCTAGAACAAATCCCCCTGTAGCTCCCCTTTCGCGGCACCCCTTTCTTGCCCCCCATGCAAATGGGCAGAGAGGCTGCTTCCTCCTCTGCTTTGCCCGTTGCTGCCCAGATGCTGCTGTCTAAACAGATGTGGATTGTGGGGGAGCAAGTTCGGGAGTTTGCTCAGTGTCAATGGAAAGTGGAGTCGGTGTGACTTTTCCCTCACTGCTCACACCGGCGGCTGGCGACGCTCGCTTCCATTCTGCCCGTTCGGCCGCCTGCTGCGCATCCCCAGGAGCCAGCCCGCGTTCAGCTGTGCTCTCGAGGGGCGAGAAATGAAGCCGGTGTGGCACACTCTGTGTGCACCCACTAGCCCTTTCTTGAGCCCCCCTGTGTGTCCCCCCCCCCGCAAAAAAAAAACAGTGGCTTGCTAGCTTATCCCCTTGTGTGCAGAGCGGAACTGGGAAGCCAGGGGTGGGCAGCTCTGCTCCGGAGTCCTCGGACGTGCATTTGGTTGCACCCTGTGGCGCCAGGTGGCATCAGCCGGTGGGCACTTCCGAAGAGGCGAGGGGTGGGGGGGGGGGTCCGCGACGGGTCTGTGACCTGGGCCAGCCGTGCTGCTGCCGCTCCCTCCGTCCTTCCCGCAGGCTCAGCTCCAGCTCCCCGTCCTCTGCCCAATGGCTTGCAGCCTCTCTGAGCCGAGACCCCGGGGCAGCTCTTCCCCCGCGCCGCCTCCCCCTCCGCGCTCCGGCCAGGGGCGCGACAGGCCGTCGTGCGCAGCGACAGCACTTACAAGGATAACGCTATATGCCGTGACGCCGAGCACTTACTCGCATTAAGGAAATGTACAGGTCAGTGGGAAAGGGCGTGTGGAGAGAGAGTCCCACAAGAAGGCAGTAGCGCCCGGACAATGGGATCTCTGTGTAACTCCTTGCTAAAGGTCTGTGTGTGTGTGTGTGCGTGCGTGTGTTTCCCCCTTTCATTAATCTGCTGTTCTCACTGGATAGATGTAGTTTCCACTGCTCACCTTGTTGACGTTTTGCTGCTTCTTTTGGCAATCTGGGATTTCAGAGAAAATAAATATAAATGGACACGTCTCCTGGCTTCTGAAAGGATTTCCGGTGGCTCAACAAATCGTTCTTGAAGTCACTTTAAAGCAGTTAAGATGTTGTCCTAATTATGGACCTGCAGTTCCTGATTCTGAGTTCATTCTCACAAGCAGACAAAACTCCTCCCACCCCACTTGAAAAGACCTGAAATAACAGGGCCGCTAGCAAGCATGTCTCTGACGTGCTGCTCGGGGATCAGAACCGCACGTTCCTGAGCAAGGGACCGTGTGAAATCCAAGTCGGCCTTGGTAAGTTGTGAACAATTGACTGCAACTAATAAAAAGAACCGCAGTGCCACTGTGCACGAGCAAAGGGCCGGCTGCCCTTCAGCAGCAGCTCCACGTTGCAGGTTAGATCATTCAAGGAAGGTTACATGAGTTCACACGGATGGAGGTCAAGGAATTCAGGCTCCGCCCTGTCAGGGCCACACGCCGTCCTCCCGGCTGGACCTCCCAGCAGCCCAAGCGCTCTGGCCAGTCCACAAGAGTTGCAACGCACGATGCAAAAACTTTAACGCACAAAATTTTAAAATAGTTTAAGCATCTAAAGGCGAGATCCTGGAACCAGATCTCTTTGCCGGCTGCTAAATGCCTGACGGGAGGAGTGGAGTCCTGATCTGCTGCCAGGGAGTCTCGGCCACACAGTAAGTGTAGGGAGGACAGGTCCACGCCAGGAGAGGTGCTGCGCCTGAAACTGCGGCCCGACGCCGTACGTGCCATTCCGGTTCAAGCCCTGCAGCAGGAGTTGGGCTCGGGAACGCTCCGCTGGCCAGCACGGGTGGCCAGAGCCAGGGTCCTGCAGCTGCCCCCCTGCATCCTCCTGCTGCCCCTTGCGCAAGCTGCAGCTCCGGGGCAGTCTTTGGGGCAGCCCCACATACCGAGCATTCCAGGAATGGCACTTGGTGGTCACCCAAGCACAAGCCACTGAAGCAGGGCGACCCCTGTCTGGGCAGAGGCACAGCTGGGCAAGCAGCCGGGGCAGGCCCCGAGCTGTGCGGGACGGACAGCTCCATGGGCCTGTGCCTCCCGGGAGTGCGCGGCCCCGTCTGGCACTGGCTGAGTGCCTCCCGCCTGGCTGCCCGCCTGGAGCACCTTGTCTCTGCCTGAACCGGGCTCCGGTCTGTTTGCCCGCCCTCCTTGCAGCCAGGGGCTGCTGCCTCCAGCTGACCCACACATGCATCACTGCCCGAGCGAGGCAGAGAGGCGACAGCCAGGAAAGTCGTGGCCGGAGTGCCCCACCGAGACCCTCTCAGATGCGCCCGGCAGACTGCGCTGCCTCGCCATGACGTGTGCGTTCTGTGAGACCCCAGCCGCAGTGCGGCAAACCCGTCGACCCACTTCCCCCCACCCCGAGCCCCTTCCTCACACTTTGGTGGGAGGAGGCAAAGCAGTGCAGAGACGAGGCCTGCCACACGAGCCCTGGCCAGAGCAAACCGTGGAGCGCCTGCTCCCGCGGAGGCTTTTCTCTGCCCCCGCGTTAGAGAGCGAGCGAGTGAGCGAGCCAAGCTGGTGTCAGTGTCTTTAATAGAAATGTCGACAGACCCAGGCAAGAGGTGCCAAGCAGCTGTCCGTTGGTGGAAGGAGCACGCTTCTGACGCATGTGGGGGGGGGGGATTGTTTCGGGGCACCAGCAACACCGGAGAAGCAGAGGCAAAGCACTACGGGGGACACACACAGGACCGGCTACTGCTGAGCTATCCTTAGCTGGAGGCCGCTTTCGAGCGTGCGGCCTGGCTGAAGCTGGGGCGCAGGGCCGCCCAGGGGCCCTCGGCAGGAGGCTCGCGTGCCGTCGAGGGCCCCTTGGGATCCTCTTCGGCCGGGGCGCACGCTTGCTGCCGGGGCACCAGCACGGCCGACGGGCCTCCCGGGAACAGATTTCTGCAGCCATCGCTTCCCGGAGCCCACCAGGAAACCCTGCAATAAATACAAAGCAGCCAAGCCCCCGCCTGTCCCTCGTTCGCAATACAGCCGCCCTTGGGCCGCGTGGCCGAGGGCCGGAGGGTTCAGTCCACGGCGTCCAACCACAATCCGAAGGACTGCCTGCAAGAGCCAACGTGGCGTCACTTCTCCGACTTCCCGTCTTCCTTTTTCTTGTCCTGGCACTTGTCGTTATCATCCTGGATGATCTCCACCTCCAGCCGGCCGATGTAGAGGGAGACGGCGCACAGCCAGAACAGCACCACCGTGGTGACCGCGGCACAGCTGGGGAGCGCAGCGGAGAAGGTTAGCAGCATGGTGCGGCGGAGCAGGAAGAGGCTGGCCAGGTAGGAGATGCCGCCGTACGAGACGCAGATCCCCCCGAGGATGAAGAAGCCTGGGAAGGCAAGCGGAGGTCCACTCAGGGCCCAGCCCTGGCAGAGCCTGCCCGAAACGCGGCGGGGCAGCAGCCGGCCCGCTGGGAAGGAGAGACGCCCTTTGCTGACTCTCCTCGGAGTCCCATGGCAGCTCTGCCCGTTTGCCCAGAACGTAGCTGCACAGAAAAACTGAATCCCCTCCCAAAACTTCCTGCCCTGATGATAAAGAGGTGAATCCCGCGGAAGGGGCCACCCTGCTAAGTGAGAGCGAAGTCCTGGTGCCAAAAGCATGAGGCTGTGGGAGGAGCTGCGTTGCTGCCACAACAACTCAGACTGGATTTCGGGACGGGGAGACACACACACACGGTATTTTGCACTTTCCTGCAGTAATGGACCCACAAAGGTACCAACCCTGGCCTACTGCCTGAAGCTCAAGGCTGAGCAGAACTAAGACACCTTTGTGCGGAAAGCTTTTCTTGCTGACCCGCCCATTTTCATGGGCAATGCTACAGCTTGACTGCCGGCCATTCACCACTTCCACGTCTGCCTGGATATGCAGCGGCAGACAATGACGAGCTTGGCTGCCCCCAGCAGCGCCCGCTTCGCACATGCACAGCCCGGTCGCTCCTCCAAGAGAGAGAAGCTTGCGCTGAATTAGGCCAACGGCAACGGACTCTGCGGCCCTCTTTTCAGTGTGAGGCACCACTGCCCCGCTGTGGCAAAATCCAGGAATGGCCCTGGAACCGGAGGACAGACGTGCGAGTCAGAGGGCCTCGACTGACCAGGGCAGCCTCCGTCGGAGCAGGGACCAAATGTCACAAGCAGTCTGGCCCCCCGGTCTGGCTGCAACCTCCGAGGGCCAGCACGACCCACAGCCGCGCCACGGCAAAGAAGCTGTTATGCAAACTGGCTTTGTGGGAGCGATAAAAGGATAGAATCAGAGTAGGAAGGGCTGCTCAGGGCACTGAGATCCGTCCCCCGCTCAGTAAGGAATGCCGTTTGAAGCCTCCCAAAAGACAACTGTGCCGCCTCTGCCCGACCGCGTCCAGAACCCCCGCCCCCCCCCGCCCCGCATGTGGCTCCATTGTTTAAATGTTCCAAGCACCAGGAAGTTTTCCATGACGCTCTCCTGAAAGCTGCTTTCTTGTAACTTAAGCCTGGATGATAGCGAACAGGTTGTGACCCCCTCCTACAGGATGCCCCTTGAAAAATGCTTCCCCCCTCAACTTCCTCTTCCTTCCTCTTCTCGACACACCCCGTTGCTTTAGCCTTTCCCCACAGGACAGTGTTCCCTGATCGCCTTTGTGCCCTTCGATGGAGTGGCCAAGAGTTCAGATGCAGGAAAGCCCCTGAGAGGGCCCAGCGCAGAGGTCTGGGCAAACTAGTATTTTTAATTCGGGCTTGTCTCTCACATTAACAGGTTAGGGGTGAGGAAAGAGCTTGTGCCGGACTTGTGCTGCACCACCTCGTTCTGCCCCTGCAGCTGCTTTCACCACCTGGTACCCTCCAGATGCGATGGATGGCGGCTCCCATCATCCCCCCAGCCAGCACAGTCCTGGCATATGGGTTTCTTATGAAAGCAGCCGTGCCCAAAAACGGCCCTCCCCCCTTCTGCTTTACTGCAGAGTCACCCAAAGCGCATGGAGTTGTTCCACACTGTCCCTTCTGTACAAGGTTTAGCTTCGGGTACCAAGCAGCCATACTCTGGTTTACCACTAGCTTTCCGCTTGGTACTCCTTGCACTCTTCCTGTACATGGCGATGCAAGCAAAGAAATTACACAAGTTCAGGCTGCTAGAACCTCGGCCTCCAACGGCCGACTCCGAGACTTCCCCTCCCCTTGGATGTCTCCTGGGGACAAGCAAACAGCCCAAGGTCACCATGTACAGCCACAAACTGGAACTGCCCCAGCCTAACTTTCAAGGCGGTATCATAATTTGCCCTTCTGCAGGCTGTTGACACAAGATGGAAATCACGAAAGCTATTAATGTGTGAGCCATCAACTGAGACATCTTGAAGTGCCTTTTGTCTCTGGGCTGACTTCACCCAGCGAGGCTCTTTCTGGCTCTAACTGCTAATTAGCGCTTGCAAATTCAGGAGGATCGTCCCGGTCACGGACAGCACAGAGTCTACAGACAAGCGAGGCACAGGGCGCATCTCAAGCGGGCCTCCGATTGGGCCAGACGCGCATCAATGTAGGTCACCTGCTGCACGGCAGAAGCCCAAAAGGACATTGCTGCTCTCTTCCCGATTGCAAACACGTCTCAGCCTGGTCTCTCGGAAGCCGTCTTTACTCCCTGCCACAGTCTAGGCAAGGGACCATTTGGCACGAAATGTGTCTCAGGCTGCTCAGGTTCGTGCTCAGAGCCGGAGCGTCAGCATCAAAGAGGGACCAAGAGGGACGGCCCGAGTTCTGCCGCTGGGAATGCGAACTCGGCTGGGACCCCACCTTGATGGTGCGAGCAGGCAGGAGACCAGAGTGCTGACCCGAGGAGGCGCCGGAACGGGTGGCTGATTCTCAGGAGCCGCCCATACAGAGCCACCCTTGGTACCAATCCCTCACAAGCCCTTTTGTGGAAACGAGCCAGGTTAGCTTAGTTTCTGCACGAGCGCTTCAGGACCTCTGCTGGTGCCCCCCGTCCTTGTTACTTACCGTACGCTGCTTCACGCCCCATGTCGCTCTGAACGTACGAGATCACCCCAATGCCGGTAGCCAGCAGGCCGTTCCGAAACCAGGAGAGAAACCCTGGTGAGGACAGGGGAAAAAATAGCCAGCTCTTCTGAGTTTAACCAGGTATGGCTTTATCAAACGAAGTCATAAAATATATTAAGAAGAGCAACAGTGCAAACACACAGCTTCATTAATAAAAAGAGACAGTTTAGTCCTATGCTGCTTTCAACGTGGAAGGGCTACTGTTCTTAACAGCCAGACTTAATGGGTTGTTCGTAAAGACAAACAGAGAGCAACATGCAGCGGCCCACCTGGCAACCAGATCACCTTGGACGTGGGGTCAGGACCGACCGACTGCGTAACTGCCAGCAGCTGTGTGAGCGATGCTGGGGCAGCAGAGAGCGAATGGCCACAGCAGCCTGGCAAAAACTGGGTGTTCATGGGTGCTTTTATTTATTCCTTTGGGAATTCATATGCTGCTCTTCAACACACGTTTCCAGAGCAGCTTGTGAACACTAATAAGGGGGCGAGAGGAGACAGGAGCCGAAACAGGTGCCGGCCCCCGACTCCTGGGGCTCTTCACGCCCTCCGCTGCGACTCCAAAACTGCCTTGCTCTGAAGGAGACCGGGCATTCAAAACGATTCTTCCTAGTTAGTTTTACAGTTTTACTATAAAATGCTTATTGAAGCCTATTCGTCATCTTATGTAAACTGCTGTGAACTTGGCTTGAAAAGCTGTATACAGGCACATCCAATAAATCGAGGATAAAAATATGAGATAAAAATGCAAACTAGTATCAACAATCAGCAGAACAATGGACGTTGTTAAAATTGCACAGCCCTCACACGTTTAGACGGAATTGTGCCAACACTGGCTGGGAAACGGTGGGAGTTTAGCACTTTTTCGGTCCGTAAGATACTTTTTCTGTACCTTAAGGTCTTGGAAGAGTTTTCACCCACTATCACGAAGGACGTAAGAGTAAGTGCCAGCAAAAAAGCACCCCCTGATTGGGGCACCCCTAGTGAGAAGACCACAGAGTTCTGCCCTGTGCCAGGGAAGAGGAGGAACCCGACCCCCAAACGGTTTCAGGTGAGCGGCCTGCCGGGGCAGCTCAGAGGCAGGGCGCCCACCGTGCCTCTCGGGGTCCAGCGGCGGAGACACCCCGTGAGCAGGCCACGCCGAGCGGCTGCGCTCGGCTGAGACCCGGCCCACCGCTGCCACCCACCCACTGCCAGCCCGGTATACTGCGCTGGGCAGGCGGGCAGCTTCCCGGAGCGGAAGAGCAGGCCAGAAGCGCACTTCTGAACGCTTCAGGCTGCAATCCCCCCCCAGCCCCCGGGCAGAGCGCCCCGCTGCGCTGCGAGCACCTCTCCCCGGGCGGAGGGGCCATGTGCCGGCGCGCACAGGGACGGGTGGCGGCGTCACTGCACGAGAGGAGCGGCGGCAACCAAGACGGGGCGCAGCTCGCAGGCTGCTCCGGCCCCCTCGCCGCGGGGCGCACGTGCAACGGGGTCGTGACGAGGGCGAAGACGGGTGTCCGCGCGGCCCGGCCACTTCCCGGGGCTGCTGCCAGGCGGAGCCCGGAGGTCCGCCGGTGCTGGAGCGTCTGGGACGCGCGGGGAAGGTCTGAAAGAGCGGCGGCGGCGGCTCGTTCGGAAGAAGCGGGACGGGGAACCGAACGGGTGGGAAGGGGCACCCCAGGCTGCACCGCCCGGCCTCCCCAGGCCCGCCCCGCCCGGCGCTGGACCGCGGCACCCACACGCCCCTGCAGCGCCGCCGCCGCCGGCCCCCGCCCCGCTCCCTCCGGGGGCGCCGCACTACAAGGCCCATCAGCCCCACGCAGCGCCGGGAGGCGGGGGCGGGCCCGCGACGTCACCCGCGCGCCCCGCCCCTCACCGGTTTCGTGGGCCTTCCTGAGGAACGCGGCGTCCGCCCTGTCCAGCTCCGAGATGGCCGGGGGGCCCAGGCCGCGCCCGGAGCTGCGCC